GAACTAGAAAGGTGAGGCTCACCACCCATTTATCCCTCTGCCTTTCAATTAGCCCCACATGTGATTATCGGCCAGGTTGGCACAATTAACTAACTCAACCTTAGAGAAAAAGTAACATAAACTAACAAACACAACGCAGGATGGAAGAGCACTGAATGCCATGAAGGGGAGTTGGCAATTGAGGAGTAAGACTAGATTTGCAGTTTAGAACGGTCATTATGGCGAAGTAGGGTAAGACTAAAGGCAAAGAGTGCCAATTCGGAGGCTTGCGGAAGTCAGGCACAGAATACAGACGTCTGTCTAGTGGTGAGGGTGGAAAGGACTAGAGAGCTTTGAGAGAGAGGCCATAAAAACATTTTTTAAAAAAGGAATTGATCACTGGACATGGGTGTTGTCATGGTGTAAGAAATGGGAGGAGAAAGCCCAGGAAGTGAGACAATGGATTCGCTTTTGGACACGTGGTGTTTGAAGTGCCCCAGTAGCATCCAGGTGGAGCTAGATGCCCATTGGGCAGAAGCAAATTTGAACTGAACACAGATTAGGAGAGAAATTTCCATAATTGAAAGTTGAACCATTGGGAAACAGGTAAAGTAACCCAGGAAACACGTGTAGGGAGAAGAGAAGTCAGAACCGGGAAAAACAAACAAACATGTATTTAAAAGATGGGCGAAGACAAGAGAAACCTCTGCTAGATCCTGAAGGGCAGGAGGTAGAAGCTGAAGTAAACCAGAAAAGCTCAAGCAGAGTGGTCAACAATGGGCAGTGCAATGGGGAAGGTCCTCCAGGATAAAGACCAAAAGTAGCCATTCTGTTTCACAGGAAAACCGATTGGTGACATTAGGGAGAGCAGTTGCTTAACCACTGGTTTGGATAACGATGTGCTGATTCGAGATGGAAAACTCCTTTAGGTTAATAACCATATCATTAATTAGTCTGTTCCCAGGCTTTCATCGTAATGTCTCATACCTGATATGTGGATGCAGAGGCGCTAAGTGGTTGGTTGCAAGGATGGACAGAATGAAGGATGGATGGAAGGTAGAAGGGAGAAGAAAGGAAGGCAATACGTGAATTGGGAAGAGAGAGGGAGCTAGTAGGAAGAACAGAGGAGCAGTCAATCATCTGTTGACCCCCTGGGTGGTTTTACTCTTGTCTCAGGTTCCACAATCACTGCGGAGATCCAGGGTGTGATTGATGCGTGTGTCAAGCTGACCGGAATGCCGGACCTCACCCTCTCCTTCATGGTAAAGCCCAAGGCCAGACACTGAGTATGTGGAGTGGGAGATTCAATCCTTCTGGAAAGACAGAGTCCAGAGAATGGATTACAACAAGAATCCATTATTAAGGACAGCCACAAAGCTTCTATCAGGCTTGGATTTTCTATAAATAACAAGAATTTGTGTTTGTGTGTGAGAGAATTTTCAGTACATAATGGCAGAATGTGTGTATGCATGAATAAAAACAGCATTTTCCTGACTTTCCTGAAGACGTACGTGTTTAATTTTCTTCATCTCTGTTTCCTTTGCTTGGTACCGGTAGAACCCAAGGTTGTTGGATGACGTCAGCTTCCATCCCTGTGTTCGTTTCAAGCGCTGGGAGTCCGAGCGTATCCTCTCGTTCATCCCTCCTGATGGAAACTTCCGTCTGCTCTCCTACCATGTCAGTGCACAGAAGTAAGCAGCCCTGATAGTGAAGCATGCAGTCTGTGTGTTTGAGGTATTCAGGGAAACCATCCTCCAGTGGGTCCAAAAGGCTCTGGAGTTAGACTAGTTGGGTTCGTATTCCAGTGAGCCACTTAACTTCTCTGTGTCTGTGTTCTGTATAAATGAAAAATAATCGAGGTATCTTGTTGTAAGGATGAGACAAAAACATCGAAGTAGTACTTATCAAAAACTTAAGTGCTTATCAGTCTGCTACTTTTTTTTTAATGTCTAAATAAGAACCGCTAGCCTATCAGAGTGTCATACTATGATGGCTTGCTTGTTGCTGAACTGCTGGAGGGTGTGCCAAATAGCAGCAGGGTCGCCCACTGTGGACGGCTTCCAGCGGACCTTCCAGACTAAGACAGACTAGGAAGAAGGAGGAAGCACGGTGTACTCCTGAGAACTTAGCCACAGGAAACCGTATGACGAGTAGAACATTGTTTCACAGAGTGCTGGGAGATGAACCCTCAGGGTGCAAGGTACTCCGATAGGACTGGGGCGGAGCCGCTCCCTCAAAATAGACGGACCTTAAAACTGACCAATGAAATGACATAGAAAGGGCAAGACTTTGGGTACCTTCATTGCTAATGTGGCATGCCTCGAAAAGAAACAGCTGCGAACACCCATTCGTAATTGGAATGTGGACGGCACGAAGTGTAAACCTAGGAGCTTGGGGAGCCGTACAAAATGACCGCTGGGCTGGTGCACTGCGAGACAGCAAGGTCCGCTCGTCAGGTTATTTCAGCCGCTTGGGCAGGGTTGGGGGCCGGGAGGGCTCTGGAGAGGTACTCTTGATAGATTTTTCTCAAAGGACACAGGATAATCATCCCTGCGGTGTATTAGGAAGACATTTTAAGAAAATTTAAAACTGCAGTGACGATGTAAGAAGGCCGAGGGAACGTAAGAGAGAAACTTATTTTCCATCATAGCAATGCACCTGCTCATTCTTACAGGGCAGCAAGCAATGTCCTGTAAGTATTTTGGTGGGAAACCAGACCTGTCCCGCCTAAAGTCCTACCCTTGCCCTGGTAGACTTCTTTTTGTTCCCCAAACTCAAAAGGGTATTTAAAAGGAACCCGATCTGTGTCCCTTCAGGTTGCCAAAGCTGCTCTTGTGGCGTGGCACAAATCAAAGAGTGCAGAGTTCTTTGGGGGAAGGGATGGAGAGATGGAAGTACTGCCTTCAGAATGATGTACTGTATAGACTTGTATATAAGCCGAGTTTTCCTGCACATTTTTAATGCAGTATTGGTGGTAAAATTAGGTGCCTCGGCTGATATTCGGGTTGGCTTATACTTGAGTATATACGGTAAATTTCCATCCGTGTTTCCCAAAGTAGTAGGAACCACCCCCTGGGGGGTGCTGGCTTGACCCAGAGGGGGCTACAAAAGCAGATACCTCCACTATATCCTGGCCTATGGGCTGTATACAAAAGTTTTTTGATTGGCAGAGGGATGCTGAGTAAAAATTTTTTTTTTCTGAAAAGGATGCAGGTGGCCAACTATGGCCTAGTTGGAGGACTTGTTGAGAAACAATGGCTTCACCATCTGAAATGTTTGTTTAATAATGGTGCTTATGAAATTGCAGCAGTACTTTACCCCACTTAAAGCGACACCTTATTTTTGTTCACACTGCCTCCCTCACAGTAAATGTAGTATATTCTTTGATTTTTTTTAATATTATTCAGTTATTCGAAGAGTTGGTTCACTCCACTAGACAACAGTTTGCAAAAAGAATGCTGACTGGGAGTGTTTTTCTTTTACACTGATTAAAATAAAGAGTAAGGAAGACAGTAAGGGTGCAGAGGCTGCCAGAGAGCTGAGGGGTGTGATGGGGAGCATGATGTAAAAGGGGGAACTATTGACGGTTGGCAGGTCATTAATGAAATGGGCTTTTTGTTTCCTTTCCAGTCTGGTTGCAATCCCAGTGTATGTCAAACATAACATCAGTTTCCGGGACAGCAGTTCCCTTGGACGCTTTGAAATAACAGTGGGACCCAAGCAGACGATGGGCAAGGCCATAGAAGGAGTGATTGTCACCAGCCAGATGCCCAAAGGGGTCCTGAATATGAGCCTGACTCCGTCTCAGGGGGTGCATACGTTTGACCCAGTTACAAAGGTAGGGGATGAGCAGGGAGTTTTGAACTGCTGATCTTAAAGGTGGGCACTCTTCACATAGAGCTTCTACCTCCTTTGAAAGACGAGGCCGGCTCAAGGGACAGTGTGCACTCCTTTGAGTTGACATGGTAACAGATAGTTTCCGTTATTTGTTCTTGTCAGCAGATGCCCTTGAGCTTAGCGCTTAGCCGCTTTGAAAGAAGGAGTCCATTTATTGTATTGGAAAGACAACTTCTCTTTTATTTTGTGTCTGAAGATGCTGTCTTGGGATGTAGGGAAAATAAATCCTCAAAAGCTACCGAGTTTGAAGGGGACCATGAGTCTTCAGGCTGGAGCTTCCAAGCCAGATGAGAACCCCACCATTAACCTGCAGTTTAAGATCCAGCAGCTGGCCATTTCTGGTAAGTGACCGACAGCCCCGGTGACTGAGGCAGAAACAGCAGTGGTGGCTTCCTGCCATATGGCACAGACATCAGGAAGTCTTCTGAGGTTTGGTTCCATTGTTGTTGGGAGCGGCCCGGTTGGCACTGATTCACGGCGACCGTATGTAGAACAGGACAAAAACATTGCCTGGTCCCGTATCATCTTCATGATCATTGGGATGTTGGAGTCAGTTCCTGCGCCTGCTGTGTCCGTCCATGTCACTGAGGCCATCCCTCAGATGAATGAACTTGGTTTTATTACCGGACGTGCTGGCTACGTATAACAAAATCTTTCTCAGGACATTTTTCTGAGGAAAGTTTACCGTCCTTATTTTGACGTTGGCCCAAGTGACCAGAATAAACCCGACTGGGACACAAGTGAGAAAGAAAGAATATTGGTAGGCAGGAGCGTTGACAGGCTGTGAGCCATCCCCAGGGTTGTCAGTTTGAGGTTCCGAAGGGTTCCAGTATGGGGATGCTGAGCTGGTAACTTAGACGGATCTGTCTTCTCTCGCATTTGCCTTTATCATCATTTGGGGGCACGTTGGGGCTATCCAGATCAAGCCAGCATAGCCTGCGCTTAACCTTAGGATAATAGTAGTAATCATGATAATAATAAGGAGCTATTAAGAATTTACTATGTGCTAGGTACTATTTTAGGAGCCATGGTGGCGTAGTGGGTTATGCGTTGTGCTGCTGCTAACCGCGTGATCAGCAGTTCTAGACCACTAGCTGTTCTGCAGGAAAAAGATGAGGCTTTCTACTCCCATAAAGAGTTCCAGTCTCGGAAGCCCACCGGGGAAGTTCTACCCTGTTCCATAAGGTCCCTTTGAGTCAGCGTGGACTCGATGGCAGTGTGATACTACTGTAGCCTTTTTTCCATGTACTTGCTTATTTCATCTTCCCAACAATCTTGTGAAGTATATAGGAGATCACTTTAGTTTTATATGCAGTTCCCATTTTTCTTTTCCCTTGAACCTGGTCTAATATGAGTGGTCAGAGTTTATTTAGATTTTAACTTAAAGCACTTAAACGATAAAGCTCAATATCATATAAACTTGTTCTTAATAGAGTGAGAGTACTTGCAAAGCATTCATTTGTTCATGATTCTTTTCATTATCCACACAATTATAATTTATTTTTCTGTTACTTATTTATTAATTTATTTTTGTACTAGTTTTCTAGGGTTGGTGTAACAAAAACACCACCTAGGTGGCTGAACAGTTACAGTCTTGGAACCCCACAGGAGCATTCTCCCCTGTCTTTTAGAGTCGCGGTGAGTCAGCATCCACTTGATGGTAGTGAGCTTGGTTTTCTGGTAGGTTAGGAGTTCAAATCCACATGTTGGCTGGGAAGTGTTTTCCTCTGGAGTCTTTAACGGAAGATCCTTTCTTGTCTATCCCAGCTTCTGAGAGTCTCCCCCAGGCATTCTTGGCATGAAGATGATCTTCACATAGTTATCCCTCCTCTGGGTTCCACCTTTGTCACTTCTCCTTTTATTTATGAGGACATCACTCAGACTGGATGAAGATCCCTCTTATTCCCATCTGACCTCATAACAACTTCACTGATAAGGTTTCCAAAGGCCTGTTTTCAAACAAGGTCATGCTCACTAGCACAATGAGCTTGGGTTTCTACAGTCTTCATAACTGGACCCGTGGACAACCTCATGGCAAACACAGGCAATACTGAAGCGGTCAGTGGTTTCATTCCGCTTTTCATTCTACAATCAACACCCTGGGAAGAACATCCCAGAAATCAAGAGACATATTGCATCAGACAAACCTGCCACCAAACACTTCTTGCAAGTGTTAAAAAGCCAAGCGTCACGTTGACACTAAGCTGTGCCTAACTTAAGCCACGGTGTTTTTAGTCGCCTCGTGGGCATGTCAAACATGGACAGTGAGGAAGGAAAGAAGATCCAAGAAGAATCGATGCCTTGAGTTGTGGTATTAAAGAAGAATATCGACTATACCACGGCCCGCCGAAGAGTGTCTTGTCAGGAGTACAGAAGCCTCTGAGTAAGAATGCCTCTTAGAAGCAAGGATGGTGAGACTTCCTCTCACAGACTTTGGACGTGTTATCAGGAGGGACCAGTCCTTGGAGATGGTCCTCTTGCTTGGCAAAGTAGAAAAGGTCAATGAAAAAGAGGCAGATCCTCAATGAGATGATTGACACAGTGGCGTCAGTGATGGTGAGAACACACAGCATTCTCTTGTACGTAGGGTCACCGTGAGGCAGCACCCACCGAGTGGGATGGCACCTACAACAACAGCAGCAGCCGCAGTAGCAGCAATATGATCCATACAATTATCATTATTAATGTAGTTCATTCATGAGAACAATGTACAGTGGTCTGAATTTTCTCTGAACTGTACTTAATTCTGCCTCTCATGTCCTGCCCTTTCTACTTCAGAAACACACTTCAATATGGGGTGGTTTTTTTGTTGGAATAATAATTCTTCATTGTCAGTGTATATACTATGAGTGAAATACTAGGCATCTTTATATAAATCATAGGCTTCCAAACTTATTTCACTTACCACCCCCTTTTTAAGAGAAAAAAATTACTCAGTGCCCCCTGGCAATTAAAAACATTTGTACTGTAGCCCACAGTCAGCATAAAGTATAGGCATCTGCTTTGGCAGCCCCCTGTTTTGTCCTAGCAGCCCTCCAGGAGACGGTATCACCTAATTTGGGGGTCAATGTTAAAAATGATACAAGTAAGTGAAGCTATATTTCTGGTTCATTTTAACAGCAATCTCTAGCCCATTGATCTCTTCGAATTGAAAAGAGTTTCAACCATTAATTCTACCTGCTTCTTTTGACTAATACTCATGTCTTATCCTTCATTTCAGGACTCAAAGTGAATCGTCTGGATATGTATGGAGAAAAGTACAAACCCTTTAAAGGCATAAAATATATGACCAAAGCTGGAAAATTCCAAGTTCGAACCTGAAGGGAGAGTTTACAGAAGGAAAAGTTATGAACATTTGCTCATGTCTTCTTTGTCTAAAAGTGAAAAAAAAAAATCCAACCTGTCTCCTCGGTCAGTCCCCCGGCCCCACCTGCTCCCTGTTTTCCTTAGCCTGCCGTGCCATGGAACCAAGCAAGGGGGCAGAGGGTCGCCAGGGAGAGCTGCACAGAGCGGCAACACAATCAACAGCAGCTCAGGTTTCCAAGGAAGGGGGGTGACGGCAGGCAGAGATGACAGCACACGTCACTATTTTTTGATGGCTGCCATAGAGAAAGGCGTGCATTCGTTGCTTGCTTGGCTTTAATTATCTAAAGCCAGTGAAAGATTTCTTTGATGCTGGTTTTTAAAGGTGGAAAGAAAGATTACTTAAGACTCACTCTCACTCACTCACTTACTCTCTCACTCACTCTCATTCACTGACTCACTCTCTCACTCACTCACTCACTCTCATTGACTGACTGACTGACTGACTCACTCTCTCACTCACATTCACTCAATCACTCTCTCACTCACTCACTCTCTCACTCACTCACTGTCTCACTCACTCACTCACTCACTCACTCACTGACTCACTCACTGACTCACTCACTCTCATTCACTCACTCACTTTCATTGACTGACTGACTGACTCACTCACTCTCTCACTCACATTCACTCAATCACTCATTCACTCACTCACTCTCTCACTCACTCACTCTCTCTCTAATTTACTCATTCTCACTCTCTCACTCACTGACTCACTCTCACTCACTCTCTAAATCACTGAAAGAAAATAAAAAAGAAAGATTACTTGAAAGAGGGGAAAGTGAAAAGAAAGCCAATTTAATAAAAGATCAGCGGGGAGACAAAGGTGAAATGAGTATTAAAGGACGATAGCAGATTAGGAAGTGACGCCTCCCACCCTGAGGAGGCTGAACGGACTAGTGTTGAGTGGCTTCCTTTCTGGTCCCTGTGCTCTCACCGAGGAAAAGCATTCGTCCTTCTAGAAACGAACTGCAACCTTCTTAAGTTTGAATCCACCATGGACATGGAAAGCCCCAGGAGAATCACATGACCCTTGAAGACAACACCTGGCAGTTTCTCAGATACGAAATGCTGCTTGTCTTTAGCACATAGTCTGCCATCTCCACTGAGAAGGTGCCCTCCCTGCCTTCTCTCTGGTGCCTGGAATGCCCATGCCCACATAATCCTCACATTCCTCCCACAATTCAGCAGCCCTTTTGTTGTTGGCTGATCCTCCTGTGAGATTGTCTTAAATTAAAACAAACAAAAGCTTTTAGGGAAAACCAGTTCCCTACCCCCTGGGACAGCCAAGACTTCGGGTGCAGGGTGGTACAGCTAGCCAGCTTAATCCCGTGATGTGGGCCACAACTATGTACTCCCGAGTGTTTGTGAGCGCTGCCCCGATACCAGATCCCGAGTCTTCCAGTCTGAAGCTGTTCCGTAGCAGCCCGGGGTGGCAACTGCGGCACAGAAACAACCCAGAGTTGTTTGTTTGGGGTTCTATAATGTAGCCCTTCCCAATAGCTGCCAGCCGTTTTTATTCTAAGACCAAAATATCATCCAAATCGTTGAGTGATAAGAATGCTGCTGGAAGGTGGGCCATGTTGAGTAACTAAGAAACGCCGCACCTCAAGGGATGCCGCGGACTTTCCCTGCGTCATTGCTGTTCTAGTTCATGTGTCTCTTACCCATTTCAATATTTACGTAAAAGACAAGTTTATGAGGTTTGTTTGCTTCCTCGTAACATAAATGTACTCTGCTTTGTGCATGGAGAAACGTACACACACACCCTCTGAACCTCAGAATTTTTCTGTTTCCAAACACTTGCGCAAATTGGCTCCTAGCTCACCTTCCTGTTTACTGGATTTGTTTGTGCTGCAGAGTAACGTTGCTTTGTGGTTTTCGTATGGGATAAACAGTTCTGTGTACAACCAGATGTTTCTATGCCCTCATTCAAATATTTGTTCAGGATGCTTTGGCCTCTATGCACACACCTACCGTGGGAGGGCCCAGTCATCCTACCAGAGGAGGATATCATGCTTGGTAGAGTAGAAGGTCGTCCCCCCAAAGAAAGACCCTCTATGAGGTGGATTGACACGGAGCCTGCAAGAATGAACTCAAACAGCAGTGATCGTGAGGCTGGACAGGGTCAGGCATGTTTGGCTGTGTTTTACACAGAGCCACCGTGAGTCGGAACTGCCTTGTGGGACCTACCACCACCACTGCCACCATCTCTGTCAGCGCATCCCAGAACACCTGGGATCACTTCTTCCGAGGCCCTGTCGAGTTTAAGGTTTCCCGAGTCACAGGAAGTAGTCTGTCCATACACCGCACAGTTTGTAAGGCCAGCAGTTTTGTGTCCGGTGGGTTGTGGGTAACACCATTGTGCCGCCCCAGCAGAATGGCGACACAGACCAGTCCTAGAATCAGAAACCTGTTCACATTGTTTGCATTCTCCCACCCAGTCACTGAGCGAGAGTTACCAAGATTAGGAATGTTGAGTCACAGCAACCTATGATAATGGAGGAAATGTTGCCTGATCCCGCCCCACTCTCACAATTGTGCTTTTATATTTGAGCCCATTGTTTCAACCACTCCATCAATCCCTCTTGTTGGGGGCAGGTCTCTCCTGACAACATGTCCAGGGTACGGGAGACGAAGCTCACCATCCTTGCCTCTGAGGGGCTTTCTGGCCATACTCCCAGGACAGATGGTTTGTTTGATCTTTTGGCAGTCCATGGTACTTGAAATATTTTTCGCTAGCACCATAATTGAAATGCATCTGTTCTTCAGTGCCCAGCTTTCACAAGCAGATTGAAAATACCCTGGATTGGGTCCGGCCCACGCTAGTCCTCAAAGTATCATCCTTGCTTTTCAAGACTTTAAAGAGGTCTTGTGCAGCAGATTTACCCAATGCAACGTGCCATTTGATCTTGTAACTGCTGTTTGCATGAGCATTGATAGTGGGTCCAAGTTAGATGACGTCCTTGACAGCTTTAATCCCCTCCCCCCCTCTGTTTACCGTGATGTTACCTACTGGTTCAGTCGTGGGGATTGGGTTTTCTTTACCTTGAGTCGTAATCCATTTGGAAGGGTGCAGTCCTTGATCTTCAGCAGGTGCCTAAGTCCTCCTTGCTTTCAAAAAGCAAGACTGCCATCTGCATATGGAAGATTGTTACTAAACCTCCTTCCAATCCTGATACAGCATTCTTCTTCATATAATCCAGCCTCTCAGATGATTTGCTCAGCATACAGATTGAGCAGATATGAGAAGATGTAACCCTGATGCACACCTTTACTGATTTTAAACCATGCAGTATACCCTTGCTCTGTTCCCACAACTGTCTCTCGATCCATGCACAGGTTCCACACGGCCATTATTAAGCATTCTGCAGGCTATTCACAGTGTGTTGGGGTCCACACAGTCAAATGCCTTGGCATAGTCAATGATACACAAGGATCATCCTAGATCCATCTGATATCAACAATGATATCCCTGGGTCCAAGTCCTCTTCTGAGTCCGTCCTGAACCTCTGGAATCCTACTCTTGTCAATGTACTGCTGCAACTATTTTTTAAAAAACAATTTTATTGACATATAAGTGACACACCATACAATTCAATAGTTCAATCATATTAAAAAGTTGTACAAGCATCACCACAATTTTAAGATGCTACACCTATTGTTGGATAACCTTTAGCAAAAATTTACTTGTATGTGATATTGATGATACTTTGAGCATTCTTTTGGGTCCCCTTTCTTGAGAGTGGGTACAAAGGTGGGTCTCTTGCAGTCAGTTGGCCAGGTAGCTGTTGTCCAGATTTCCTGGTATAGACAAGTGAGTGCTTCCAGTGCATCATTGGCTTGTTGAAAAATATTTTAGTTGGTATTCCATCAATTCCTAGAGCTTTGTGGCTAATCCTTTCAGTGCAATTGGGACTTCCTCCTTCAGTACCATTGGTTCTTGCTCACATGCTACCTCCTGAAGCGGTGGAGTGTTGATTATTTCTTTTTGGCACAGTGACTCTGTGTATTCTTTCCAGCTTTTAGTGCTTCCTCCATTGTCCAATACTTGCACAGAGGATCTCTCAATAGTGCAATTTGAAGTTTGAGTTTTTTTCCTGAGAACTTTCAGTTTAAAACATGCTGAGCCAGACAGGTCTGGAACTATTTATAGGTTTTTTTGTTTGTTTCCTTTTCTTCTCTCTTTTAAAAATGTCTATCTATATAAGACAGGCAGGATAAACAATTTCAAGGATAAATGTTCCGGAGGGACATGTGGGAGGAGGGGCAGGGGAACGGGAGGGGGGAGCTAACAAGCGCAGGGACAAGGGAACAACAAGAGATCTAAAATCGATGAGGAGGAAGGCGTAGAATATCTGGTGGCATTTGATCAAGTGCAATATAGAGGAATTGCGGAGATCCTAATGAAGCTCGAACATGATAGTGGGACAGGAAGAAAGTAAAAGGAAGTAGAGGAAAGAACTAGGCATCAAAAGACATAGACATATGTAGATATATTGATTTATAATGATAGGGATATAAGTCTATGCACATATATTTATATGTTAATTATTAAGGTAGCAGACAGACATTGGGTCTCTACTCAAGTCCTCCCTCAATGCAAGAACACTTTGTTCTAACAACATGGCATTCTGTGATGCTCACCTTCTTGACATGACCTCTGAAGATAAAATGGGTGCATAAACAAATGTGGTGAAGACAGATGATGGTGCCCAGCTATTACATGATACACTGCCTGGAGTCTTAAAGGCTTGAAGTTAAACAAGCAGCCATCTAGCAGGGAAGCAAGAAGTTCACATGGAAGAAGTACACCAGCCTGTGTGATCACGAGGTGTCGATGGGATCAGGCATCAGAAGACCCAAAACTAATAAACATATATATGAAAATGAGGAGGGTTGGAGTGGACACCCAGGGCCATCTGTAGACAATTGGACATCCCCTCACAGAAGGGTCACAAGGTAGGAATAAGTCAGCCAGGGTGCAGTGTAGCACCAATGAAATACACAACATTCTTCTAGTTGTTTAGTGCTTACTTCCCCCCACTATCATGACCCCCGTTCTACTTTATAAATCTGGCTAGACCAGAGCATGTACACTTGGACAGATAAGAGCTCTCAACACACAGAATCCAGGACAGATAAACCCCTCAGGAACAATAATGGGAGTAGCGATACAATGAGGGTAAGGGGAAGGTGGGGAGAAAAGGGGACCTGGTCACAATGATCAATGTGTAACTGCCCCACCCCCACCCCAGGGAGACGAACAAACAAAAATGTGGGTGAAGGGAGACATTGGACAGTGTAAGACATGAAAATAATTTATCAAGGAGTCACAAGGGTGGGCGGGTGGAGGAATGGAAAAAAGAGGAGCGGATAAGTAGAAAATGATTTGAAAATGGTGATGACAACATATGCACA